GCCTCTCCGCCCCTCGCCCTCGCGCCCCGCACCGCGCCCTCGCCTTCGCACGGGCCCCTGGCTTGCAGACTCTGCCGTGCCCGTCGCCGCTGGGCTCGCCTATCTCCTCCGCTACCGCACCTGCCAAGGAGGGGACCTCCGAGGAGACTTTGGGAGGAGGTGGCGTTAAACCTCTAAGCCAGCAGAAATAACAATAATTAGCGGGACTGTCAGAAAACGTGCCGTCTTCCCACTCGGGAGTTGAGTGGGAACGGCAAAGAGGCAGCTACCGTGTTAAAATAGCGTATCATTTATGAAACAACATCGACACTAAACAAATTACTTTAAAATTGGGCTCTTAAGAGAATAGAGAGGCCAAAGTATACAAAGAAGACGGATTTTGCCAGAAATTAGATTGGAAAGGACAAACAAATTGAAAACGCAACTGGCTAGCCACTTTTCCTTTGGCTCTGCCGATCCGGCTGTTACCATTACCAATCAGACTGATTTTAATATGACATACAGCATATACATCAGCTAAGGTTGACACCATAGTGACATCCTGTCTCACAACGGAAAATAAGGCCTGGTCCAGCTCTCCACAACTTCCGGGGTCTGTAGACAAGGAGACGCACCGCGGGACAAGGGTTATAAGGCACAAGCAGAGTAACCTGCGCCTGGCAGCGAGTGGCATGTTATTCACACAGCGTTCAGGGGCAGCGGCAGAGAGGGGGAAAGGGAGCTAGACAGTGACTAGAGGGCAGAAGAGAACAAACGATGAAGAATGCAGCCAAGGTGCCAAGGTGATGACTGTGAGGGAGAAGGGGATCACACAGCGGATGGACCCAGGGAAGGGCAATACCACTCCTAAGGCCGTCTTCAAATGTCAGCGCTCTCTGCTTGCATGGACTGAGCCTCCATGGAGGACATTACTTATTTCAAAGGCACTATATTTCTCTGCTCCTTTTAAAATAAAACAGTGTTGTACGTGTCTGGAGCAATGATTCATGTCTTTGGCCATAAGAGATTCTTTACCAATGGGGATACCCTCCCTTGGCCAAGCGTAGAGCAATGTCTCACATTCATTGTACTCAAGCAAATGAGCCACAAATAAAAAGAGACTTTACAGAGAAAACTGGCAGAAGTTTGTTTCTGTTGGACTAATCTGGTTTTTCCTCCCACCTGATGCTTTTGCTCATGGCCTGTTTGTCTTACTTTACGTGCATCCCCATATACAACAGCAGTTACTCATCTTTTTAGGCCTTGGGTTTTTTTGTAGATAGCATTAAATATAAGCTCACCAGAATTCTTCATCCTAAACCAAGAGGACCTGGATTTCCAAGAACTCATACGATTGCCTCCCATTTGACTTTTGCTTCAATACCCACACCTCTGGAGATTATTGGTTTGGTTTTTTGTTTTGTTTTGTTTTTTTTTTTCTTTTTAATATTGTGAGTCTCTTTCCATTCATCTTACCAGAAGAAAAATGCAGTGCAAGGCTGGAGTTTGTCTACATAACATAATATGGTGCTATGCAGCACCAGCCAAGCTGGAATCAAATGCTTAAGCTCTGGAACCATAAGCTTTATATAAGTATAACCAATGTTGTCCTGACGAGCCCGTTTGAAGAGCAGGCTAATTAGTCATTCTGCATCTGAACCCTATGCTAGTCTTTCTGCACAGTGCTCTGCTCTCATCTCCCAGCGCAGCGGTTTGCGTGGTGGCAGCCTGTACATTTCTGTGCGGTGAAGGTGCTGGTGTGCACCTAGGTGTGTTTTGTCTGTGTGGCTGCACCAGAGGGAGCTAAGTCATTGCTAGCAGTGAGACCCTGCAGGCCCTCCCTGAAGGCCACCCGAAGGCAGAGCAGCTGTGGCAAGGCTGTCCCAGGCAAACGTACAGGTCATGAAGGTACCGTGTCTTGCCCTAGGTACTAGAGCATGAAGGTACCACGTCTTGCCCTAGGTACTAGAACAGTGGTCCTCTATCCTCCTCTTGGAAGAGTCTGAATGACATTAAGCCTTAGGACACTGAGGCCAGTGCCCCTGCTGGGATTCACTAATGGCTTGTACTGGACTCTTACTGCCTAGCATGGGATCTAAATCTGACAGACAGTCCAGACAACACAATGCACAGCATTCAGTACACCCAGGCAGTGTAGTATTTTATAAGTGCAATGCCTCCCCTTTCTTCTCTGTGTGGTTTTTTTTTGGAAACAAAAGTAAGACAAAAAGCCATTCACCTTCCCTTGCTTTTAGCTCCCGAGTCGCTTCTTACAATATCTCTGAAATTAAAATAGGGATAAGGCAGATAAGAGTTAAAGCTGGACTTCTACAAACTGACATTGGTCTATAAGAAGCGCAATAAAAGTAATTGACCTAGATGTGAAAAATCTATGTGGTGCAACAGTAATTCAGGACAGGCCTGAAGCAATTAACCTACTAGAATGAGTCAGTTTATCATCTACTGTATTTGTTTTCTTCATACATACATGAGGAAGCTTGATAAAAAGTTAATCATAAAAAACAGAACAATTGTGGGTTTAGGTTCCTGTATGCTTTCTCCTGGATATACTCCCAATGGTTTTACTATTCTGTCATCCTCTCTCTGTGTGACCATTTTGATCATGCCTGAAAACACAGGCGCCAGGACTGTGAGATACGTCAACAGTTTTACACGTCATCACGTGGTATTCCTGCATACCAGCCAGGAAGTGAAGAACAACACTCTGTCCAGCAGTGGGAAAATTAATTAATATAGTTATTGGAAGCGGAACGGGGCCAGGAATCAACAGCCATTCGTTCTTCACTAGCACAAAATGCTATGGCATCCCTAACAATTAAAACTAGTTCCCTTTCAACAAAAAGGCAATGCCACTATCAGTACAGCATCTTCCCCCTTACACGTGGATTAATTAAAAGCTACAATAAACCTATCAAAGAGCCAAGATTTCAGCAGCACTTTTCTGTTAAGGATCAGAATGAAAGAGATTGCTAGAGTGAACTCCTTCACCCTTTTTGTTATCCACAGATTCTCTGAGCAGTTCAGAGATCACCTTTCCCGTAGGAAATCTCTGTTTAATCGTTAACAAGTATCTCCTATAGGCATGCCCTTTTGAGGCCTTCACCTCTTGGAGCAAACCAGAGCAGAGGTTTGCAGGGAGCTATAGGCTTGCTCTCCAAATAATTGCAAACAGGCTGAGGACAGGGCAAGGGACTCCAGCCCCGCTTCCCTTCCCTTAGCATTGCGTGGGGGCTATTTTGACCCAGATATTCAGGGGCAGCACAGGACTGGCTTTCAGACACACTATCACTGCTCATCAGACATGAGCTAGACTGAGAGAGTAAAAAATCTGTGTGAGGCCCTGTTTCCTCTGAGACTGAGAAGGCCTTGCCTCTAAGAGCCGAGTGGCTCAGCTCACCTCTGAGCTGGTTGGAAGTTCAAGAATTTCCCTGCTAGGAGTTAATCAGCCCTGTTTTCACCGGTTGCTCCAATTGGTCAAGAATAGGTTTTACTTACAGCACAGGAGCATGAAATAAGTAAGAGTTGGTGACCAAAATCACCCACAATCTGCTGGTCTTCAGCCCCAACATAACAAATTGCAAATATCTACACATGTTGTTCTCCTGCTGACTGAGGTCTGCTTGGC